AGTTAAGGTTCTGACTTCTTTAACTGACATACAATTGCAAAATCCAACAAAGAATATAATTGGTGAATTTTAAAAGGTCCTTCCAGCTTCAAACATATATCTAAATGGTGAATATTTCCACCTAAGATAATGAAGAGGCATATTGAAATGGTCTTGCAAATGAAATCTGTCATGACTGGTAAAAGTGGATTTGAAACATGTACCCAGCTCGGGAGGTAGGGATGTATTTCTGCAATTGAATATCATGACCTCCTGCCCCACCCTTTCTTAGACATTACTTCAATAACATTGAAAGTGCTTAGATTCGGTGAATATTGTTTGCCTTTTATTTTTAAAATGCGAGTTTGTATGATATTTAAGTTTTCATATTGAATATACAAATTACATTCAATATTACGGAACAAATTTCACCCCCACCCCCCTAAAAACTAGAGCTACCTTGTGCACTGAGCTCACTAAATGATGCCCAATGACCGATGTAGAAGGGGTCTAGCTACATATCCCCATTTTGTATCAAAAATATACTTAATATTATATATCTTTGCAAAAGATTAGGAAAGGCTGCTAAGCCCTCACCGGTCCACATTCTTGTTCCGACTTTTATGAGGAACAATACATAATTGAAAATTAAGAAACCTTTATAAGAACTGCAGATTCATTACAGTTTCACTTCATTTTTTGGGTGTATTTTTTAAGGGGTACCGACTACCTGATAAGAGATATAATGTTCACAGTACAAAATAAGAATGCGCAGTACAGTTAAGGCAACGCTTTCTAAAACAGTCGCCGAATAAGATAAAGTTATTGGTTAACTATTTTGTTTTTAAGAAAAACACTGTAGTTAAAATAGCTAAATAAATTTACTAAATAAATTTATTTATGCAAATACACTGACAATATGCTTCGTTTGATATTGTAAAAACAAAATAAAGAGAGTTTGAATTGAAAATTGGCATTTATTTTTACCTAATAAATGACGAGACAAATCATGCAAAAATACTAATTAAATAAATTAACAAACACACAAAATTTTAAGTATCCAAAGAATCTCAGCAATGTACCTATATAAAGGATATCCAACAATAAAATGAATTAGAAATTCTTCTAACAGAGTAGACTTATGTACATGCGATAACAAGTGATTGAATGGCTCACAATAAAAACAAATCAAGATGACTGGCGAATGTATGTTGACAAGGCAATGCACACTGGAAGAATGAAGGCGTGCGCAAAATTAGCGGAATCTGGAAATTGCTGATAAGAGATTATCAGATTACAGGAATGTAAACTGGCGAAGAGAAAAATCGGAGTTGTTCTTCTTGCCATGTCAGATGTTTTACATAAATTAATTTAATGTTGTAAATTAAGATATTTGAACCAAGACACTCTAGTGTAAATAGCTTTTTTTTCTTCTGAAGAGCAGCATGTTCATCGCTTTTCACTTTGGTATTCTTTTGCGATCATGTGACCTTTTACAGTCATGGGGGCCCCTATTTTAGATCGAAAAATGAAAAATCACATTTTACCACCAAGTGAAAGGGCAAGGCAAAGAATTATTTGAATGTAGTGTCCTCATGCAAAATTTGAATACATTTTAAAGCATTAATGTAAGGGATGAGACTAGTTTTTCCTATAAAATATCTACGAATATCGATTTGATTGCCGTCTTAACCTACGCTCTTGCGTTGTTTCCACATGTAGTTTAATACAATATTCTAAACACAGTTATACTTCTACGTGGAATCGTTTGCAAAAAGAAAATAAACAGTAACCTTAAGTTTTTATGACATTGTAAAGCTAATACACATGATGATGTCATTTTATGACGTCATTGTATTTACCGCTCGACCAAAAAACATCAACAAAATATCTCAAAACCCATCCTATTAATAATTCACGGAAATTTGAAATATTTGTCAAATTGTAGCACACATGTTGTCAGTTCAAGTGTTAACTTATTACTTTATCTGAAGTTTTTTTTTTCTTTCAAGAGCTTGATATGAAAGACCTTTCCACAGTTAACATAATGAATATCTGAATACTATATTCAGAAGGACTTTTTTTCTTAGAGGACTAGATTCTTAGTTTCAATAATAAACTTCACAATCCTTTTTCATAACATGTTCTCAGTATGTTTGTCAATAAGATATATAACAATGTAGACATTCAGATGCTGCTTTTATAATGTGTATGTTTCTTTTGATTGTAACTATTGAAAAAAAAGCCAGAATACAGAGATTTTGAAACCGAGGAAAAGCACCAAAACATAAAATGGTAAAACAAATATATAATAACACGGGCGTTAGCTCTAAAATATGAATACAGGCTCTTGAAATGAATTATGCAATCGGATAAAAGGCATGAAAGCCTATACAAATATTTAATATAAGAAATCACTTTCTCTTGGTTTAGAGGAACAGAACATAATTGTAAAATAAAGAAGCCTTCAAATGAACTGCACATGCAAGATAGTGTTGAAGATAAATATTGCGTTCGTTTTTCGGGGAATTTTCTATTTAAGTAAACTACACTGAGTTTCTTCCATGTGTTGTTTCTTGTTGCCCGCACTAAATAATATCTGATATAACATACATATCCCTTGTTGTTTTTAATGCTTCCTTTGTTATTTTTTAACACTAAGCAAAGAGGGATATTATTTTTTTATAAATACGTTTATGTGCTCTTAAATGCGGGCAATAATGAACAACTCAGTTCGTATGTACATGTACCTGAAGCACATTTGCAGCTCTGTTCTGCAGCCATTAAAATGATAAAGCGAGTGTTTGTGAGTAGAGCATTTATTACATTACAAATGCCAAATAAAATGAAAAATTTTACAAACACAAGAAAATCTTCAAACCACGTTTTTTGGAGCCAAGCGGAATTATGAATATGGGTTAGGCCAATAGCCGTAAATAGAGGGTGCTTGGAAACTATAACCCGGAAAAACCCCTAAAGACCCAAACATTCATACACATTATTAGTAAATCAAAATAAAAAAAAAACTTTGAGCATTTAGATCCCATAAACTCTTTAATATACATAAATACACTTATGCGTTATCTTTATAAAATCGTTTTTAAGCCTCCAGTAGAATAATGACATATTGATATAATATACGAATAGTCCAATTGTGAACACTGGTTCTATGTTTTTTTCTTTTATTTAAACAACCGAAAAGGATGGACATTTTTTTTATGGTTGTTTGATTTATTAATTGTCTTTCAAACTTTATTCTTTTGAGATAAAAATAATTTTAAAGACTCTAGAGGGTTTGTCAAAAAGATTTGTTTTCTCTGACAAAACTCTTTTATTTTTATTTTTGAATTTGAAACTGGTCAAAAATGAAGGCGAGTTTTAAAACTAAAGAAATTTTTAGATGGATCAATATTGGCTAATTAGTTGAATGTATGTATCCTTATATACAAAGAAATACACTGAAGTGCCTTACTGTTTAAAAAAGAATTTTCGCTTCATTATGCGTGTCTATCTATGCGCGAAAATTTTATTCTCACATTTTTTTATCTATAATGTCAAGGATTATATACAACAATTACGTTAGCCAGCAGAACTTTCATAACGCTTATTACCACCAAAAACGCGTTCTGGCTGATATAAGGTGTTGTGAACGTATATCTATAGATTAATTTGTAGTATCGTCAATTTTTTTAACACCTTTTATTCTGAACAGTGTAGTTTTGTAAATTACGAAAATTAATGTTTTATTTCATATAAATAGAATTATAGTAGTGTTTCATTTATGGATACATAATACAATCTTTAAATTATAATTATTCTTTTGAACTTAACTTTCCGTATTGCTAAGGTGAAACGCTGTTTGAAGTTGTTTGAAAATTAATGTTAGGCTTATATTATCTTAATTTTGATGATTTGTAGTAATTTATCTATGCTACAGACTACAATGATCTGTTTATGTGATGAGATTATACGTTTATATACACTCGTTAAGATTTGACTAGGAAATGCAGCTCTTATATAAGCATTACTGACTTTTATCACCCGAGTCTCAGGAGGATTGAATGTTTGAAGTGCTGAATATAAGAAAATGCAAAATTCAAAGTGATTAATTTGCAGTAATTGACAGTCTGTAGGTTGGGCTGTTCTGAATATTTAGCGAAACAATCGTGTGTTCAATTTTTTACTCTATCAGGTCTTGTGTGTAAAGTGTTACACGGGAACGCAAAATATTTTTTTTGGAAGCTTTGGGCATTTTTAACAGAAAACTCTTTGTTGTGACACCAATGTATAACAATGGTCATCGCTACAAAGGAATGTCGAGGTATTCCAAGGAATTTAATGTCTTTTTCATTGTTTGTGTTCCCCACTCTGAAAGTTATTGTACAAGATCACGTGATTTGCGCCTCACACCATATCATGTGAACCTGATCAACAAATAATTACATAATAGAACGAAATAAATTGTCAGGTGCATAATCTTTTTTTTTTTTTGATACACAGTTTCACAGTAACATCGATATAAGCAATAGGTTCCATTAAAGATTTAACTCTCGTGTTGCTTTCATTTTCTGTTACTTGGCGGACACTCAAAAGAGTTTATTTTTTTTGGAAGATAATCATCAAACATTAATCTGGTTATAATTAAGGTGCAATGATGTTCTTTTCCTTTATCTTTGTCGAGAGCCTATTATCGCGGTTTACAGTTTATTTTCTATATTTCCTGTACAATTTGAAGTTTTGCACCTTAAAAAGTTAGCATGGTTCTATGACAACCACAATTCCGTGTACGTCGAAGGTAGTACGGAGTATTTTCCTTTAAATTGAAATGTTACTTGGAATTTCAACAGCACAGTTTTTTTTCAAATCTTTGCATGCTAGAAGTGCATTTGTAGATTCAAAATAAAAAAAAAGGTTTTTAATTTCATCCGTAAGCTCATAACTAGGTACTTGTTAATTGGTTTTTATTTTAGTTCTATGTTGTAGATATAATCTCCTGAAAGCACTACAACACCAAACAATTTTACACAATTACAAGATGATCAAAACTTACTCTTATTTTACAATAAAGTCAAATGAGGCAAAAATACTAAACATAAGAATACATTTATGAAAGATATAGAGATAACGAACAGTATTCAAGATCAAAAGTCCATAAAACAATACAAAACAGGCGCAGAGCAAACACGGTCCTCCAAAACAGAGATGGGATCAGGTGCCATGGAGGAGTGAGCATCCCCTGCCGACCAGTTACATCCGCCGTGTACTCCTTGCCATAATCAGGAAATATCGGAACAATCTCTCGTAAATTCATTGTATAAATAATGGACTTACAACAAAAATACCTACACACATGTTCTAAAACTCCTAGTTGAATGAAAATACAAGTTGGTGATGAGAAATCTTTAAATTCAAATTTCTTTAAAATTACTATACATATAAAAAAAAAGCATTTCCTCATCTGTATAGCTTCAAGAATCTTGATTACGTTTGCTTATAAAAAGATATGTGAAGCCCAGAAAATTACATAAGGATTACAAGAGAAATTAAAAATTCCAAAAATTAAACAAATATCATACATGTATATAACAAAGGAAAATGACAAAAGACTGTCTGTATTCACAACATACAATGAATAACATGTAAATAACATAAATGGAATAAGAGAAAAAACATAAACTGATAATATAATGCAAATTATAACATTCATTCTTAGACATATGGTGTTTGTAACAGAAGACATGTTAAGAGCCATCACCTTTTTGATATGCATAATAATGATTGCACAGATAGCAAGCCACCCCCTTAAAATACTAAGAATACTAAATGTGTACATAATCTTTCCAGATCGATCAATTGAATCTTCGGTGATCGTTGCTATTATAATTAATATGAAAGCAGACAAGAGTAAAGAATAAATCCAAATCATTACAGAACATGACATTACAATTGGCACGGTTAGTCTTACTTTGCTCTCTAGGGGATGAACTATTAGTAAATATCTGATCATAGCTAGGAACACAATGTGTGCAGTTGAACAAGAAATAAATGTTTGGTCTAGGAAATAAAAGGTTAAAAATTCGAACATACTTTCGTTATAATCATGTTGAATTACAACATAAATAAACAAATCGGAAAATTTTCGTACAAAAATACCGATGATATTTAGAGTATCTGGCAATGCAAGGCATCCGATGGCAAGAAATGTTGGAGTATGTAACCGTTTATCGCATACAATTTTGAAGATAGTCACAATATTTCCTACGAACCCCAATAATCCAATAATCAATGTGAGGATTGCGATTGATTTCTCGAATCCTTCCGATGTCTCAGCAATAATTTTTGGATCAAACAAAAAGAATGATACAGTGAAATCGGTTTTGTAAGTGTGAGTTCCGTCCATTGAAGACAGCATTGCGAACCAAATCGTTCTATTGTAATATTGTTTTGTTTCCCGATTCATTTTAGATGAATTTTTTGTTGTGGGTTTGGATATGTTCACACTTGTGGTTTGGAGTGGAAATCTTCTTTCATTAAAAACGCCACTTCAAAAAAATCTGTAAAAATAATTTCATTTAAAATACAAATAAAATCATATTATTTATAAAAAAATAAAATAAAATGCATATGGATAAGCAATAACGCCAAATTAAAATTAAGAAAATTATCAAGTAACATGATTAAAAATTGACATACCTTTTGTTTAATGTGATAACGCAGAACACATTTTATAATTCTGGTCGTTGATGTCGTTTGGCATTCATTGCTCGCTATTAAGAAAACCCGGAAGATAAAATTTATATGCGTTATGTCCTATGAACCGAGAAGAAAGGTTTTGGAACGGAAATTCTTAAAGTTTCCTGATTTTGTTATTTTTACGATGCATATTTTAAGGAGAAGTGTAAAATAGGCTGAGCCTTCTGTCTAATCCTCTTCATATTAACATCAGTGAATAAAATATTGTTTAGATTATGTACGAGGGTTGTCCCAAAAAGTCGTAGCTAATATTTATATTTTTTTTAACATGCAACCAATCGTAACCAAATTTTGCATAGACATAATATCTTCAATATTCTTTAAAATTGTGAATTTTTAAATATATATCTTTCATATTAATAGTATTAGGACGATTTATTTGAAGACCGATAAAGCCTGTCGGCACACGAACAAAATTCGGAATAATTTACGTATATGACTGTAACATTTGCTTTTATTTCTTTAGTACTATGTAATACATTAAACTCAAATTTAAATCACTGAAACCAGAATTAAAATTTTAATAATATGTCAAAATTTCAAATAAATAGCTTTAGAAACAGACGATTGGTGTCATGATTTTCACATCGTCGCAAACCACGGTCAAAATATACGATTCTCTCCAATTCTGGCCGTGGTAGAACGAGGAGAGAATTCTTCGTAGCTCAGTAAAATATTGACCAATGAAGTAAAGCATAGTCGGAAGATGAACTTTATCGCGACCTTTCAATATCCAGTCGCAATAAAAGAAATATTTCTTGTAAACTGTTGACGTCAGTTGTTGATTTAAATAGCAATGGAAACAAAACTTGACACTGACTGAACATGACGTCACAATACGGAGACGTAAATATTCAAGATTACAACACTTTTTGTGAACAAGCAGCCACAGATAGGATAGAGCTAGATGCGGACTCTGAACTGTGGCTTGAGACGATGCGATTTTCATTGTATAGTTGGAAATGATGAAATTGACGTCGACAAACGCGTAAGCGGCGCACGGAGATGTAACACATTGTGTTGGATATGGTTTATATACATAAGAGAGGGAAAAATGAGTTAAGAAGTGACATTACACACCAGATTTCAATAAAGAAATTATTTTCAAAAGGCACGATATTCAATGAGAGTTTCTCCTCTATACCGACAATAGTTACGGCATGTTAGAAGTTGAGTACTGTTTGTTAAACACAGACATTGGGAACAATCATGACCGCAAACGAAGTAAAACAATGTGCAGTCTCTGCTGAATATAATTTCAATTTAATTTCGACTGAAATTTGAATCTGCGTAAAAAAACACAAATAAAAAAACAAACGGACAGTAGTGAATTTGTATAAGTCCCTTGGTCAAGAGTGGTCTATCACTTAAAAAAAATATTGAATGTAAATAAACACGAGTGAACCAGACAAAGAGATCATGACGTTACAAGAGACGTAATTTACGCTTGCTTTCATGGGCCGCCATACACTTACATGCTTTTTTATTTCTTCATGGTTTTCTTATTAAATGTGATATCATAATATAACTTGAAATGCATGATCATAAAATGTTACTTTTTGTTTTGACATAAAAAGAATTTTAATTAACCAAAGAGAAACATTACTGTTTTCCATGTCTACGACTTTTTGGGACAACCCTCGTACTATGCAAATTTTAAGTCATGTATTTTACTATTAATTCAGAGGCTTTTTTCCTCACGAATAATTTTTTTTTTGATTCAGTGGCTTTTTTTTTTCTCTACGAATAAATCTATCATTATTCTACTTTCTTTAAAAAAAACTGAAGAATACGATCGTTAAATAAACGTTAATTTAGTTAACATTTCTTTGTTATAGATTATATTGGTTTCTTCTTTCATTTCGAACAAAATATTGTTTCAATGTAAATTTGCCCCTGTGTTTTTATGAAATACGGAAGTGACGAAAAATATCCTTGCTGAATTCTTAAAATTCCCTGCATTGAAACAAATAATCGGTTTTTCTAATATGACCTCTTTAATGCTGGCTGTGACGTTATAAACTTGTACATTTTTGATGCCATATTTTTCTAAAAGTCATCAATTTCAGTGGATTTTTTTTGAAACCATATGATACACAAATCGCCCAAAAATAGTTTTATATTTGTTTTTCAAAGCAGTTTAATCCAGAAATCCAATAATTGAGGTAGGTAACGAAATAGTTTTGGGAAAATAGGGTTAATTTTGCAAAATCTATTGTTCGTTCGAATTTCCTCAGCATGCAAGGGTAGCCAAGTTCTACATAGGCTTACAGTTATACTTGTTATTCATGTAGGCAATCATATACACCAGGATTAATAGATGTTCTATTTTTTAAGTCCTGTTCCCATAATAAATAAAAAATTTGTAGAAAAGAAAATAAGATACATAAAAATATATACATATATGATACTGATAACCAACTTTTATTCGCGATTCACTAGGGATAAACTAGTTTGCGACGATTAATTTTCGCGATCAAGCCTTTTGGATCCGTAGTTTTATAGACGAATGCATTTAAAGGACCCGTTAGCGGCGAGAAATATTCGCGATGACGAGGCCCTCGCGAACACCGCGAAAATTTCTCGCTCGCGAATAAAAGTTGGTTTTCAGTAAATAAGTGTTATATCCCCACATCCCCAATTCTTAGGGTGGGCGCGCATTGCACTGTTAGCCTATTTTTTTTAAAGGGAGGATTAAAATGAAGATTAATCAAAATTGCTTTGTGCATAACAAACACCTGTGTGAATTTTTGATTTCATCAAACAGAAAATACTGTTGAACTTTCCAATTTCTCATTAGCAATTTGTGCATGATTATTTGCCATAATTAAATTGTTAAATCTTTCTACTTTCTTTCTCTTTATCCATCGTATAACATCACAATTAAAGTTTGTACTACTGTTTTTCAATAAATATCAAACATTGAATGTGTATGTAGATATTTAAACTGCTACTGAGAAAGAGTTGCAAACTTCGGAAAATGTTGAAGAAAAGAGAGCTCAAGCTATAATCCAATTGCGAGATAAGCTGAATTTTTCTATTTACTTTCAACTGCTGTCTTTTGCCTCAACAATCAAGGAAGGAGTATGGCAGCAGTTGATCAATGAAGGCCACCTTGAATTAGATGTCGGTAACGGACGACCAAGTAAAGCTGCGGGTAATGAAATCTTAGTCGCGGACTAAGAAATACCAACCAGAAATTAGAAGGCTGATATTTTGAAAATGAGGATCACAGATTAAATTTGCAGCATGCCAGAATGCAGATCCAAAGAGAGGAACTTCAAAGTAATGGCTTGGCCTTAAAGCAAAAAGAAACTCAAATTTTTGTACTTCGAAAAGAGCTTGATTGCCAAATAGGGCTGCACAAATCCTTGGAATGCATCAATCAAAAAGAGAAGCGCTGATGAAGTGACGGAACTGGAGACTAATGAAGTAGGAACATCTTCCGAGGGATTGGGGGAACAACGGAATGCTACAACCACATTTGCGATATATACAAGAAAACATTGTGTGATCAATCTCATCGTATACAGATTTCAAGATTCAAACGGACAGATTCAACAGGGATAAAACGATGATGGCGAGTTTGGCGCAGTATGTAGACTAGTGAAAATGATATAGAACTTAAAAATCAAATATATGACAGTTCCTTTCTCGCGATTTCAAGAAAAGCACTTTGGTGGTCGACGATTCGAAATCTAGGAAAATCTGCTGACTGACGAGGTTCTCCGACACACTAGATAATGTGTGTTAATATACGATGTATATAAACTCCCTATTCTTTCATAATCATAACTGCAGTCAACATTAAATTGCGTCAAAATCATGATATCAAAAAGGCTGATTTTTTCCATTTAGCTTTTCATAATAAAATTCACCTGGCTTGGTATATTTTTCTTAAGTGTATATTACACTTTTAGCATCATATTAACATATTCTGAATTTTTTTCTCACCTGTAAACCTTTACTGAATGTGATTTGTCAATATTTGTTTTCTTCATTGAAATATTACAAATATTTGTCGTCTTTTTCATATTCCAGTTCTTCGGAGAAAAAATTCTAAAAACAACTCACATTTCTAAACTTGTGACATGATAATACCGGGTAAATCTTTTTTCCAAGAAAAAAATTTGTTTCTATCATCTTTCCTTAAATAGCTCTTGGGTTTTTTGTACATGTAGTTTGTCTACAGTATTCTAAACACAGCCAGAGTTCTATGTCGAATCGCATTGCAAGGAAACCATCAACCTTCTGTTTTTGTGACATTTAAAGACGTCATTGTATTTTACCGCTCAAAAATAACATCAACAAAACAGCTCAGGAATAAACTTTCAATAAACAGAATTTCGATTGGTTGATAAATTGTAGCACAAATGCGGTAAATTCAATTGTTAAAATATTACTGTACGTATTTTTTATTTTAGATTTAGGACTTTGAAATAGAAAACCTTTCCCCATTAACTTTATACTAGTATTACCGGGTATATGCTTTCTTAAGAGACCGCATTATTTATTTCAATAACTAAATAATTTTAATAGTATAATAATAACATGTTCTGAGTACTTTAGTAAAAATAATCTAAAGTATAACAATGTAGACTTTCAGAGGCTGCTTTTTAAGTTCACATGGTTCTTTTGATTTCAACTATTTAAAAAAAAGAATACAGAAATTTTAAAACTTAGGAATGCGCCAAAACAGAAAACGAAAATATAACACCAAAGGGATCAACTCTAAGACAATGAATACAGGCTCATGAAATGAATTGGA